CGCGAGGCGATGATATGCGCAACTGACGTTAGCGCATATCATAATTGAAAAGCGTATCACATTAGACAAGCTATCTTATTGTTAGCAGTATTACGAATACGGACACAGCCTACTCTATTTACAATCATGATATCACTAGTTACTGCTAGTCTGGTGTAGCCCATACCGGCTAAATTCATGCTCAAGTTTCAGAAGGTGAGCAATATCCTCCCCTCATGCCTCTCGCATAATAAAATAACTTTGTTGGCTGATATAGTGACCATACGGTAGCCAAAAGCACTGCGTAAAGCTATAGCTCATATATACAAGCACAGCAACAATCTTTCTTCTTTGCTGTCGACACCCAAGGGGATAATAACGGTCAGATCTGCGAGCTGCACATATTTGAGTAATCAAAGGAGCGGCAAACAAGCAAAGAGATCGAAAAGATTATTAGGGATAGTTTTTCAGAAGCAGATCAGTCATCACCTCGTTTAGTACATCGTCGAGAGATAGTGAGGGAAGAGAAACAGTGTCAGACAAGTCGAGCCAATCTTCAGCATCGGTAGAGCTTGTGACCGAATTCATGCTACGCCAGATATGGTTCTTCTACAAAGACGCACCCATTTGTTGTTGTGGCTGTCTAAATGCGTGATGGAAGTATATTTACCATGCTGGACGTTTGACTGTTGCTTCTGGAAGGCTGCATGCCACAGTGCTAGTGACATGGAAGACTAGATGAACCTACAAGGACATTGCACTTGCCTAGCGAAAGTTTGACAACAAGAAAGGCGGATAAGGACTATAATGAATGTGTCATTGTTGTTCAATTTATCAAAGTCTGAGACTACGATAGCGGCAAAGACCCTCAACCAACCAGCATCAAAGTAAGCTTGAGAAAAACATTGTTGACAATAAATTAAAAGCATTAACAACATAAAATTAAAAGGAGAACAACAAAGATGATAACAATTGCACGGTTCATACCACCCCTATCAACATGGAATAGTGGAATCATAACAGAAACGATAAACTGAGGCATCACATCCAAAGAGCATTAAGGCAATTCTCACTTCAAAAGCGAAAAAAATGGCATATATGATAGAAATCACAGCAGGTATCACAATGACTATAGAAATGGAATGAAATTCTACAAAAGACCATCCCGAAAGTGCTCATGATCCCGAAATCGGGTCCGTGCTACATGATGATATGAGGTTCAGGAACATTACTTGAGATTGACTTGTGAGGCAAAACTTGTGCCCCGTTGAGATACAACTCGTCGGCTACTACCTGAATTGTATATGAAATGCCTCAGCGCAGCAAAATCAGCTGAAACAACTTACAACATCGTCTCCAATGACGCAATTGTTCTCTATGCGCACCCATCGTCCGATGGAGCACTTTCGACCAACAATAGTCTGATTTATCCATGAGTGAGTACGGATGATCGAGTCAGACAATATCGTACACTGTCGCAAGCACACACCATCCTCTATGCGAACTCTAGGACCAATAACCTAAAAGAGCTTGGTAAGGGATGGTAAACAACTGGATGGCAAGTTTCGCTACGCACATTCTTGCCCACAGTGTTAACGATGCTCATTGCTCAGTAAAACAGTTTACTTGCACGGCTTATTTTGCTCCCGCCTGGCCGTTCTCCTCGGTTCGTACCCCTCTCGCGAACATGTTCTCTAATCATTTTCGCAGCTTAATTACGGACTGAAACTTCGCCTCACGCTCGTGTTGGGAAAGTGATAAGACAGCATGTGCGCCAAAAAGGGCAGAGTCAAGGCAAAGCCGCCGCACGAGAGCGGAGATGCCGGTGAACCCGAATCTGCAATTGATAAGCCCTGTAGATAGCGTACAAGCCATATCTATTTTACAGAAGGGAATAGACTGATGAGTACGTTATGTGATTGAATGGATACCGAAAAATTGGATGAACGTGATAGATGGAGAAGGTATTACACAAGGATCAAGAAAGGGGAGACGGTCAAGAGGCGCGATTTCTCTGGCTGTC